AAGCATAAACCCTGGAACTTGGAAAAAACCAATCTTGGTTACCATATGTCCCCAATATGTTGGATTGAATTAAGTATAAAACACATGACATTTAAGGGGAAAAACTGAAAAAAAAAAAAAGAAAGAAAATAATCCAAACTATAATTAAATAGTTTTTAAAGCTTTATTTTCTTTGTTTAAAAGGCAGAGAGCGAGTGAGGGAGGAGAGGCAGCCAGATGTTCTGGCTCCTGATTCACTCTCCCATGGCCACAACAGCTGGGGCTGCCTCAGCCTCACCCCAGGAGCAGGAGCTTCTCCCACACCTCCCACGTGGCCGGTGGGGGCCCAAGTGCTAGTGCCTGCTCCATTCATCGATTCCCCAGGCTCATTAGCAGAGAGCTAGATCAGAAGTGGAGCAACTGAACTTGAACCGGAGCTCCTGACACAGGACACCTGCATCACAGGTGGTGGCTTAGCCCACTGCACCACAACACAGACCCGTGTCACTAACATTTTGTGCAGACAGCTTCCAAAAGTTTGTAGAGAATTTGACCCCAGAGCTGAGGTGACAAGATCAAGGTCAGAATTCATAGGGAAAACACAAATCTCCGACCCAGTTTCTCTCCCTTTGAGAAAGATTCCTCCACCAGCAGGACTCAAAAAGTGCTCTTTTAGCCTCTGTTTGAATGCCTCTGATAATGAGAAACTCATTGTGTTATTTTTTGGATGATTTTTAGTTTGGGAGCCCAAGTGCTCTTGTTAGCAGCAAGAAAATAGAAGGAACCCAAATGAATAGGGTCATGAAATCACAGCTACCAAGATGATAACATGCCACATGGCCACTGAAAGTGGTCGATAAGAATGTGGTCTATCTTAATGCATGGAAATGTGTACAAGTGCAAGCCATAAGACCAGTGATAAGAGCATAACAGAGGTTGTATTTACACACCAATCACAGCTGTGTTAAAATTCTAATGAACAATAGGAGCTAGACGATAAGCTAGGAGGATACAAATAGTTGTCTCAAGTTGTTTAATATGACATGTGTACATATTGTTTAATGGAATTTGGTATCTTGAATCTTTTTTCTATTAAATATTTATTTTTATTGCAAAGTCAGACGTACAGAGAGGAGGAGAGACAGAGAGGAAGATCTTCCATCTGATGGTTCACTCCCCAAGTGGCCGCAACAGCCAGAGCTGAGCTGATCTGAAGCCAGGAGCCTCTTTCGGGTCTCCAGTGTGGGTGCAGGGTCCCAAAACTTTGGGCCATCCTTGACTGCTTTCCCAGGCCACAAGCAGGGAGCTGGATGAGAAGCGGGGCTGCCGGGAATAGAACCAGTGCCCATATGGGATCCTAGTGCGTTCAAGGCGAGGACTTTAGCCACTAGGCCACCAAGCCGGACCCGGTATTTTGAATCTTAAGACACATCCTCCCTTAAAGAATTTAGGAGTTGTAATTTCATGGAGCACTAGACTGAAAGGAATCTTTGTTTTTTAAGGTTTATTAATTTGGAAGAATGAAAGAAAGAGAAAAGTTTCCTCTATTAGTTTCCTCCCCAAATGATTGTTTTTATTTTATTTTTGTTAAAGATTTATTTATTTATTGGAAAGCCAGAGATACAAAGAGGAGGAGAGACAGAGAGGAAGATCTTCCGTCCTTTGATTCACTCCCCAAGTGAGCACAACGGCCGATGCTATGCCAATCCGAAGCCAGGAGCCAGGAACTTCGTCCGGGTATTCCACACGGGTGCAGGGTCCCAAAGCCTTGGGCCGTCCTCGACTGCTTTCCCAGGCCACAAGCAGGGAGCTGGATAGAAGCTGCCGGAATTAGAACTGGTGCTCATATGGCATTCTGGTGCGTTCAAGGCGAGGACTTTAGCTGCTAGGCCACGTCACCGAGCCCCCTCCCCAAATGATTGTAATGGCTGAGGCTGTGACTGAACCAGTCCAAAGCCAGGGACCCATCTGGGTCTGCCATGTGGGTGGCAAGGTGCCCAAGTACTTGAGCCATCATCCACTGCCTCCCCAGGTGCATAGGCAGGAAGCTGAACTGAAAGCAGAATAGCCAGTGCTCAAACCAGTACTCCAATATGTGCCACTCTGCTAGTTCCTAGATTGGAAGAGAAGAAGGCTATGATTGAGCACTATGAGGATCAGCATTGGAAGATACCTCTCTCTGTCTGTGTAATACATATACATATATATATGTTTAATGAGCGTCAGTCACTGGGCACAATGGGGAAGACGCTGGGTAATGATACTGGGTGCTGAAGAAGCAACCATACAGGTGCCACATCTGGGAAAGTTTTTCTGAGGGAGCAAAGGCCAGCAGGGAGGAGGACAGTCCTTCTGGGAGAATACAAGGTGTAGACTGGCTTGCCAGTGAAAGGTGAGCTTGAGAGTGGGAGGTGGCAAGGCAGCAGGTGTGTGTGTGTGTGTTCCGGGGGGGGGTGGATCCTGGGTGCCAGGGTGACGATTTTAGATCCCACTGAGCTAATCACCGGGGTCCTTCCATGAGGTCAGTGATGTTTAATGAGCATACCCCACATGAAGCACCTGGGCGAACCCCACTGTTGGGGTGTGAGGATGTGAGCAGTGGTCGGGTCAAAGACTGGGACAAAAACATCCGGTGAGGGTCGAAATCTGAGCACTGGTTAATGGGGTGTGGAGTACATGACTAAGTTCCCCTAAGAACATTCCCTTGGGTACCATGGATCATATGAGATTTCCTGAGCTTTGGGCCAGACACAGGCAAGAGGACGCCTTAGTTTCTATTCTCTGGAAGCTTCTAGCCTACAGAAAACAACGTATCCCAGAAGACGAGTGGACAGAAACCCCAGGATGGATGAAATCCGTCACTGAGGTATGGCAACGGCTGGTCACACAGTGTCTTGAAGGTGTGGACCTGGGCAGGTGCCAGCACTGCCCCACCTTGCCGGGGGCTCTGTACTCCAGAAGGCCTCAAAGCTGGCTTCAGGCCCTGCATATACCTGGCAGGGAGAAGGAAGAAAAGCAGGCCTTCTAGATGTGGGTGGTGCAAGCAGGGACAGGCAGGGACTTGTGTTGTCTGGGGACGCTGAGGAAACTGGCAGACCTGTCATTCAGGCTCAGAGGCAGGGCTGCAGACCCTCAGTGCCCGGCAGCTGAGCCCCGGGTTGCCTTGGTGGACACCGCAGGCCAGGGATGTGATACAGCTGAGACTTAGAGAAGGTTAGCCCGGCAGCTGCAACCCCTGGAGTCCTCCCCAGATGAGAAAACAGTCTCTACCCACTCACAGGGGGTGGATAGCCCTGGTATTGGCCTCATGCGGCTTTGGGGAGCCCTTGGATTTGGCATGATGCCAAGGAGCCCTAGAACTTTCTTTGTAAATCTGAGCATCTCCTACCCGAGGTGCCTTCATGGTCTGTGGGGATGGGTTAGAGTTGAGCTGGCCTTGAGCCACAGGCCAAGCAGGGACTTCACTCTCTCTGCCGGGCCCGGGTAGTCTCCATGGCACTGAGGGCAGTGAGAGGCAGCAGCCAAAGTGGACAAAAATCCCCTCTCCCATAGATTCACAGTATGGGGGTTGGCAGGCAGGGCTGACCTTGGCCTTTTGCCTATGGGCCAAAGGCTTGACAAATCACAGTGGGACCTTGGGTGCAGGGTACTGGGAGGCAGAGAAGATGCTGGCACTGGGATCCACTCATCCTGGACCAAGTGACTTGGCAGTGGGCTGCTCCTGGGCACTTCAGGCAGAGAAGATGCCTTGCTGAAGAAATGGAGTAGGAGGGTTATGGGAGGCAAGGAGATGTGAATAGGGGCGGGTGAGGGGGCAGCATGAATTGGACCTGGAAACCAGAAAAAAGGGCAGCCAAGTGTTGTGGGCTAAGGAGTTGAATAGTGCTCCTCGTTGGCCTGGGCAGGAAAAGGAACTGGGTTTATGGCTAAAAACACCTAGACTGGTTGGACTTATCTGTATCCAATATCCTGCTAAATGAGGATGTGGGGGGAAGAGTATATAAGGAGAGGTGAAGGAGCAATAAAGGGAGTCTTCACAGAGACTTCTACCATCACTGGTCTCCTGTTGGTGCTTCATCCCCAGACCACGTTACTGGCTCTGCTGGCCAGAGCAGCCAAGCGTTTGAAAGAGGCTGGGGGAGGGGAATGTAGGAAGATAGAGGCAGGTTCATAGCGGAGTAGAGAATGAGTGCCAGTGATGGACAACAGCAAGGGACCAGCAGGGTCCCTGGCAGCAAGTCCTGGGCTATGCTGAATGCTTCTGAAGCTGTCCCAATGGCTCTGATGTCAGCCCTCCATTGGCATCAATGCCAGCAGCCCTGCCATTGTTGCCACATGGGCACATTCTCACCACCACCATCATAACCATCCTCCCAACTGATGACCCTAGGGGGTCATGCACCTGAACTCCACTCCCCAAGAACATGGGCATGCTGAGAACCAGCCTTGAGTCAGACCTCCAAGTGCATCCGCTACAAACCCCTAATTCTCAACAAGTTGTCCCCTTTGCAGGCAACAATTTGCAAAGCACAATTGGGAGATGGCTCCCAGCATCCAGTGTGTGAGATGCCCAGGCCGCGGCCGCTCATGGCAGAGGGAGCAGAACAGAACCTACAGCCGTACCTGTTGCTCGGGCCGTACCTGTCTCCGGCTCTTGCCCTAAGGTGACCACATCACACCTGTGGTTCCTGGACCAGAGACAATCTCTGCCACTCTGTCTCGCGGTGACTTTGTTCTCACTTATCGCTCACGCCTCCTGGCCTCTGACACTTGTACTGGAAAGTCAATAAGATGAATGGCCTGCTACAGGAAAGTACACAGAAAGAAGTGATATGAAAACCATGAAAGGTACATTTTGGATAGGGGTGATGCTCGCCTGGGATGGGGGTGCGTGGGGGGGAGGTAGTGTAGGGAGCCGCTGGACCCTGGGCAAGTATAAAGGGACAAAGAGGGCTCAGTTCTTCACTGCACAACTTGGAGGAGCAGCTCTTGGTCTGTGTCAGCCAGGAGGCAGCAGCATCATGAAGTGGCTGGTGGTGGCCTTGGTGTGTCTCCAACTCTTGGAGGCAGCAGTGATCAAGTGAGTAGGTCTGGGGTCTGGCTGCTGGTGCAGGGCACTCCGGGAAGAGATTTGGAGCCTGGCAAAGGCCAACCCAGGCAGGCAGGCAGCATGGCTAGGGGCGGCCTCACTGTCTCTATTCTGGCCAGGGGAAGAGAAGGCTCCGCCCTCGTTCCCTTGCCACGGTCAGACAGGACACAAAGGTGGAGAGATGCAACCACTGCCTTCAGGAAAGTTCTAGGCTAAGAAAAAAGCACAGTCCCTTCCTCCATCATGGGTGTGGCTCCTTGCCACCTAAGGGCTAAGATATTCCTTTCTAAACATTTTCCTGAAGGCCTCATGGTGAGTGGCAGCAGTCAGGCCCACATGGGCAGAAACAGCAGTACACGGCAGCCTTTGAGTCCAAGGTGGTGGGGCAGTGGCCCTGGGGGTGCAAGTGGCAGGGCCACAGGAGGTCAGGACGCTCGGGCCTGCTGTGCTGCCCATTCCTCCGCCCTGACCAAAGGGTCAGCATCTGTCTGTTCAGCCAGAAATTGCATTTGTACTGAGCATGTGCAGACTTTCTTGTTATTCTTCACAAGCCATACAGGTGGTGATTATTTATATACCATTTGCATTGTACTAGAGTATTTACATCTTTTAAAAGAATTCTTTATTTTTATTGGAAAGGCAGATTTATGGAGAGAAGGAGAGACAAAAAGATCTTCCATCTACTGGTTCATTTCCCCAGTGGCCTCAATGTTCAGAGCTGATCTAATTCAAAGCCAGGAGCCAGGAACTTTTTTTTTATTTTTAAAAAAGATTTATTTATTTTTAATGCAAGGTCAGATATACAGAGAGGAGGAGAGACAGAAAGGAAGATCTTCCATCTGATGGTTCACTCCCCAAGTGACCACAATGGCTGGAGTAGAGCCAATCCAAAGCCAGGAGCTTCTTCCACGTCTCCCACATGGGTGCAGGGTTCCAAGGCTTTGGGTTGTCCTTGATTACTTTCCCAGGCTACAAGCAGGCAGCTGGATGGGAAGTGAAGCTGTCGGGATTAGAACCAGTGACCATATGGGATCCTGGTGCATTCAAGATATGGACTTTAGTTGCTAGGCCACTGTGCTGGGCCTGGAGCCAGGAACTTCTGGGTCTCCCATGTGGTTGCAGGATCTCAAGGCTTTGGGCCGTCCTCTGCTGCTTTCCCAGGCCACAACTAGGCAGCTGGATGGGAAGTAGAGCAGTTGGCACATGAATCAGCGCCCATATGGTATCCAGCATGTATATGGTGAGGACTTTAGCCACTGAACCCTCATATTGGGCCCAGCGTTTGCATTTTTGTTAAGATTTATTTATTTTCTGTTTGAATGAGACAGAGAGATCTTATATCTGCTGGTTCACTCCCCAAATGGCCACAATGATCCAGAAGCCAGGATCTCCCATGTGGGTTGCAGGGGCCTCCCATGGTGTTTGCAGGGGCCTGAGCACTTGGGTTATCTTCTGCTGCCTTTCAGGATGCCATGGCAGAGAGCTGGACGGGAAGCAGAGAAGCCAGGATTCAAAGCAGGGCCCCCATATGTGATGTGGACATCACTATTGGTGATTCAACCCACTATACCATAACACCTACCCTGGCTATGTCATTTCATAGAAGGGACTTGATTGAGGTACCCGCAGGGGGTTCTGGAAGTGGTCCTGCCCACACTCCCTGAAGATGCCAAAGGGGTGTACCTGCTCAGACACAGAGCTGGCTCCTCTTAGAAGTTTCTGTCATCCAGCAAATTCAGTAGAGGGGACCGGCATGCAGCAATTTTCAGTGTGCCGTGGGTAGCAGAGGAGTTTTAGACAAGGCAGGGTCCTGAAGAAGGGGCAGGGGAGCTGGTGAGAGAAGGGAAAGAGGTACGGATGCTGGAGGCTGCAGCTGGCCCGGGGGACCTGCAGGCACACGAAGCTGTAGCAGCAAACACCCCCAGGAGGAAGACAGCGCTAGGGGGACTGTGCCTAGAGGGCTGGGGATTGGGGACAAGCATGCAAGTTCCAGCTACTGCACTCCCAGTCGCCCTCCGTGAGGACCTGGTGTCCTGTGGGGAGCCCGAGCCACTGCACAACAACAGAAGCACAACCTGGGCCCCAGCTACCGCCAGGCTGCCTGCCCCAGCTACTGCCATGCCTGGCTCTCTTTGGTGAACTTCCCTCTTAGAAACTTTCTCCCAAGAAATGCACATGTCCCTGACAAAGGTGACTCTGAAAGTTTTCCTCCATTTCCTGGGAAGGAGTTCTTGAAGTATTGGAGAGCCTGGGGGGAACCTTGCACAGGTGAAGTTAACTTGGAGCAGATATGGAGGAGAGCTCTAAAAGGTGGAAGTGAAGCTGATACTGTGGCATAGTGTGTTAAGCCACCATCTGCAGTGCCAGCATTTCCATATGGATGCCAGTTCGTGTCCTGGCTGCTCCATTTTCTATCCAGCTCCCCATTAATCGCCTGGGAAAGCAGCAGAGGATGACCCCAGTGCTTGGGTCCCTGCACCCATGTGGGAGACCTGGATGGAGTTCCAGGCTCCTGACTTTGGGCTGGCTTCACCTTAGCTATTGCAGGGAGTAAATGAACAGATGGAAGATTTCTATCTATATAACTCGGTGTTTCAAACAAAGAAGTACATCTTAAAAGGCAAGCAAAAGAGAGAAGCAAAGGGAGAAAGAAGAAGAGACAGAAATACACATTTATAGAAGTAACAGCCGTGGGAGGACCAAGTAGTAGGGAGGAGGGGGCCTATCGGGAAGGAGGGAGAGAACCGGACAGGAGGGAGGCGGGCCCTGCCCTGACCTGGAGTCCTTGGGCAGGGTGCCGCTGAAGAGATTTAAATCCATTCGTGAGAACCTGAGGGAGAAGGGCCTGCTGAAGGACTTTCTGAAGACCCACAAGCATGATCCCGCTCTCAAGTACCGCTTCGACGACTTCAGCGTCACCTATGAGCCCATGGACTACCTCGACGTGAGTCCTGCCCCTCCTGCGGCCAGCCCCTGCTCTGTCCTCAGAGTCTGAGGCCACGGTGCCCTCTCCTCCCAGCAGCCCCTTCTCACTGCCTGCAGGAGACTGGGCAGAGCATGGGCAGGGGCCTGTGCTGGGGTTGCCCAGCGGAGACTTGGACCTGCTCCCCTCCATCCTTCCCCCAGGCTTCCTACTTTGGAGAGATCAGCATCGGAACTCCACCCCAGGACTTCCTGGTCCTCTTCGACACTGGCTCCTCCAACCTGTGGGTGCCCTCTGTGTACTGCCAGAGCGAGGCGTGCAGTGAGTCATGGGCAGGACTGGGCATAAGGGATGGCTGGGGGGAGCAAGGACTTGTGCTGTGGGGAGCAGGGACTGGCCTGCAGCAGGTGGCTCCTTTGTCTGCTCTGTTCAGTAGGACTGTCCATCGGTTTATGCCAGCCCTGTCTCGTCCAAGTTCATTGCATGCCCCAGCACTCTTGTGCTCATGTGCAATCTCCACTCAGTTCCATTGCATAGTTATAGAACTTTCCATCCCTGTGCATATCACATCTTGTAAGCTCTCACTGAGTGTGTCTAAGGGACATGGCTTGGCCAGTGGTGGTCTGAGAGATGGGTCACATTCACTTGGGCCTTGGAGTTTGGGTCTGGTATACCCTGGTTCAAGGCACCCCTCACTGGCCAGCCCCCTATGCTAACTCAGGATCCTGGTATCAACTTCCTGTGGAGTGGTGGTTGGGGGAACACAGGGTATATATGCCCTGGACACCCTGCCAGTCCATCTTTTGAGGAAGAGCCCATTTATGCCATCTATGTGCCCTGCACTCTGCCGAGAAACAGAGTCTTAGGGGCCCTCCAGGAGGCTTAAAGTCCCAGGAGCCTGGTAGTGGTGGCCAGAGTCCTAGGGGCCTTCGGGGTCAAGGCCAGCCCCAGTCCCAGGGACCTCCCATGCCTGGAATTTCAGTTGGCCACCAGGGGATCCCTGCCACCAGGGGTGTGAGCCCAGGCTGTGTGTTGGGAGAGATCCTTGCTGGGCAGCCCTCACCACCTGGCTGTCCCCCACAGCCACCCACAGCCGCTTCAACCCCAGCAAGTCCTCCACCTACTACACGGATGGGCAGACCTTCTCCCTGGAGTACGGCAGTGGCAGCCTCACCGGCTTCTTCGGCTATGACACCTTCACTGTGAGTGGCTTGTGTTGGGTGGGGCTGTGAGCTGGATGGGCAGAACCTGGGAAACAAGGTCTAAGACGCTGGAGAAGGGGATAAGAATTCAGTCTCATGGGGGCTCAGGAGGGCTATCCTGTGTCAAGCTCTGGGGTCACCATAATGAGTAGGGTGCCCATGGTCCTTTCCCTCAGGAAACCTATAGGGTGGGGGGTCTGGAAGAGAAGGAGATGAGGGTTGGGGAGTGGGCTGCTACAGGCAGGGAAGGCCTCCAGGAGGAGGAGGAGGTGGTGGAGGTAGCAGCAGCTGTTGCAAGACCTGTCCAAAATTGTAGGCAGGAGCCCAGGTGAAGAGAGCCCAGTGGCAACCAGCCTCATCAACTCCTCTCCTTTGTGACCCCACCCAGATCCAGAGTATCAAGGTCCCCAACCAGGAGTTTGGCCTGAGTGAGACCGAGCCAGGCACCAACTTCCTCTACGCGGACTTCGACGGCATCCTGGGACTGGCCTACCCCGCACTCTCTGTGGATGACGCCACCACAGCCTTGCAGGGCATGCTGCAGGATGGCGCCATCAGCAGTGACGTCTTCAGCTTTTACCTGGGCAGGTGAGCAGCTGCCACCCCCACTTCCCACTGCATTGCAGCCAGGGATAGCAAAAGCTCAGTGCCGGCCACTAGGGGGTTCTCCAGCTGCCGTCTGCCCTCCCCGCAAGCCACACCTGGACTGCAAGACTTCCTCCCTGGCTCCTGCGTGCTCCTCCCCTCTCACCTTCACTGTCTCTAGCCCACTGCCACTTTTCTGCGCACTTCTCTCCCTTCCTTCCAGTTGAACTTGATTCCACCTTGCTTGTTACACCTGATTCTCAGCTCCTCTTGCCTTTGTCCCTTCCTTCTGAGCTGTTCATGGCCCCTGTCTGTACCCACTGTGGCTTTATCTTCTTTGATCTATTGTTCAGGCCCGGTGCTGAAGCCTACAATGGGGTGGTTATCTCTCCCAGCAAGCACACTGGAGCACAGTCACTTGGGGCCTATGGACCTCATTTTGTCCACTTCCCCCACCTCTCCATCAGAATTAGCCATGCACCTGTCAAAGATAGAGCTAATCTCTGTGGCGCCATCCCTTGGAGCTGAGGTTCCACATTGCTCTCCTCCCTGATGGTGCTGATCCACTCTGCCTCTATTGACCAGCCTCTGGGCTTGTACACAGCAGGAGCTTGTGCCAGTGCCCCCCCCCCGTTCTCTCCCTCCACGCCCCCCCATGGACTGTCTTTCTCTTCCCCCCAGGCCCTAGCTCTCTCCCTTCCCTGGGTGAGACTCCTGTGGCACAAAGTAAAAGGCAGATGGCAATAGGGCTGCACGGGGAAGCACCTGTCAGGAACCTGAGGGCAAAGATGGGGAGCCCCCAGTCAGAGGGACGCCCTGCCCTGCCCTTGGGGAGGCCCAGGTCTGGACCCAGGAGAGGAGCTGTTTCCACTCCCTTAGCAGGGACATCCCCTCCCTGACTCACCTGTCCCTGTCTCCTGCAGCCAGCAGGGCACGGACGGAGGTGCGCTCATCCTTGGGGGCGTGGACAGCAGCTTGTACACAGGGGACATCTACTGGGCCTCTGTCACCCGGGAGCTGTATTGGCAGATTGGCGTTGAAGAGTAAGTCTGCTGTGGGCTCTAGAGACGTGGCACTTTGGCAAGAGAGCTTTAGGACACCCCAGATCTCACACACACCTGGGCACTGCTAGGGGCACAGTGAGAATGTCCAAGGCTTCCCCTGCAAAGCCCAACTCAGCCTGGAGACGAGGGCTGGGGTGGGGATAAGGCAGGGTGGGACAAGACACTGGGCACCCTGTAGTCTCACCCCATGGCATACAGGTTAGAAATGGGTCTGTACAAGGAAGCAGTGGCCTTGGCTTTCAGAGTTTCTAGAACTTCCTTGAAAGTTCATAAGTCCTGTGGCTACTTAGGTTGTTTTAGGCAGAGGTATAGCAGAGAGGAGTGGTGGGGCTCAACTGCACATGGTCAAGTGCACCAAAGATTCTGCTGCTGCTGCTGCCTGTCCCTCTACCAGCTACTGCCCTAGCAGGTGCTAAGCCTGGGTGCTTGTGTCTGTTCAGGTTCCTTATCGGCGGTGAGGCCTCTGGCTGGTGTTCTGAGGGCTGCCAGGCCATCGTAGACACAGGCACGTCTCTGCTCACTGTGCCCCAGGCGTACCTGAGTGACCTGGTGGAGGCCACAGGCGCTGAGGAGGACGAGTATGGAGAGGTGAGCCTAGGGGGGCTGCCCTCTCTCTTCTCCAGCATCATGGCAACTCCTGGGAAACACACACAGAGCCTTGACCTTGGCCTCTATGTCTCTGATGGTGAGACTTGGGACAGTCAGTCACCTGTGCTGAGGGGGTGGAGGAGGTTACTGTCAGGCAAGAGTTACTAATGAATTGCAGTCACTCAGGGTCCTGGGCTTTGGGGTCAGGGTAGGATAAGTGGGGTGTAGGGCTAAGCAAGTAACAGGAGAGCATGTTTGCAGTCATGCTGCTCCAGCCTCCACAGAGCCAGGATGCCTTGAGCCCATCTCTGCTTTAAGTCTGGCAGAGGATTTGCTCCTGAACCCATTCTCACTGATTTTGGGGAACTGCAGTGCTGCGAGCCTACAGGTCTGTGTGCTTTTGGAGGATACCTGCAGAGAAAGGGTGGGGACCCGGTTTCTCAGAGAGAGCAGGTGGGTACAGGAACATGTCTGGGGTGGAGAGTGCCTCAGGTCTCCCCAGATTCCCCTTGTGTAACACTGGAGCTCTCTACAAAACACCCCTCCTTGGAGCTGCACCTCAGTCCAAAAGCAGGCTTGCGGCTGAGGTCTGATGTGAGCTGGCTGAGTGGCACTTGGAAGTGGGGGACAGTCCCTGTTGACCTTGTTCCTTTTGCAGTATTTTGTGGACTGTGACAGTGTCGACAGCCTGCCCACCTTGACCTTCATTATCAACGGCGTGGAGTTCCCTCTGTCCCCCTCCACCTACGTCCTCAGTGTGAGTCTTGGTCCCCACCACGAGGGCAGGGGGTGTGTGGCAGGAAGGGGTAGAGCACCACAGACACTCCTCCTCCTTTCTTTGGGCCATTTCCTGAGCCCCCAAACCCTGATTTATTTTTCCCATGGGGTGACTCCAGGCGACAAGCCTGTAGCATCTCTATCTGTTATTGTGTTTCTAGCTAGGGTCAAGGGGCACCAGGCCATAGGGCCATCTCCAGCCCTAGACACTTGACCTGCATTCTCCTACTTACCCTGCACAGTGTCCCACATGGGAGACTGTTGCTTCTGCCTTATAAATGAGGTCCAGGAACAGACTCCAAGCTGCTCAGGGTGGAGCTAAGGGGCTAATTTCCAGCAGGTTCCTGGTTCTAGATCTGCTTGGGGGAGCAAAGCTTCCCATCTTGGGGAGAAGACACCCTGCAGCCTGAATTTGTCTCCCCCAGCCAGTTCTGCTGCCAGCCCCTGTCCTGATGACGCAGTTGGCCTGGAGGCTCTCAGGGGTAGAGACCGACCATGACTCGACTCATGTACAGTCGGGGAGGGCCCCCATGCCTCTGCCAGGAGCTCAGAGCCAAGCTGCGTGCCCAGGTCACACCTGTGCAAATGAACAAATATTCCCTCTCTGTGTTGAGCAGACAGACGGCCAATGCATGCTGGGACTCGAGGCCACCTACGTGTCCTCCCAGGATGGCGAGCCACTGTGGATCCTCGGAGATGTCTTCCTCAGGGCCTACTACTCCGTCTTCGACATGGCCAACAACAGGGTGGGCTTCGCTGCGCTCGCCTAACCTGGTGGCCCTGGGCGTCACTGCTGCTTCCCTGCTTCCCCTCAGCCGCTGCTCTCTTTGAGTTTTCTCTGCGGGTTTACAGCCTTCCTTCTTGGGTCTTTCTCTGGACTTTTTACAACAATAAACAGCTCCCCTTCACGTTGTTGTCCAGCCTGCTGTTTCGGGAAAGGAGTTGTGGCCCGAGGGTGCAGCTGGGAAGAGTCCGCCCCACCCTTGTGTGTATGTGACAGAGCTGCTAAGGGCACTGGAGCTCGAGCCAGGGCTTGGATGGGGTGGGCGAGGGCTGTGCCTCCCTTGGAGTCTGTTCATGGTGAGGGCATGGGATGCTGCTCTGCTTTGCCACCTGAAATGCTGTGCCAGCTCAGCTAGCTAAGCTGCTGCAACTCTGCAGCCTCGGGGCCTGGGTGCACGTCCACATGGGGTGATCGAAACCCTCCCTGCCCTTCACCAATCCTTCACGGCTCAAATCCGGGTGTCCATCTTGGCTTCTGTGGATCCAGTTTGCACTAGAAACTTCTGGGGCTATACACACTTGCAGCAGCTATGAGGTCCTTGAGGGAGGGTGCTGCTAGAGATGGGCTCAGGAAAGTTCCAGAACCTGGGGCGGCACCAGCCTGCCTGGTTTCCCTACCCTCGGGATGGCTGTGTCCCAGGGGGGACTTATGGGTGACGCAGAGAGGACTTCTGACATGAGGACAAGAAGGAGAGCTAGCTACAGGGAAATCACAGTGAGTGTTTGCTTTAGCCAAGCCAGCAGAAGTTCTTCCTTTGGACTTCACTCCATTCTCCCCAGGGTCCTAGCCAAGGGTCAGAAACCTGGGATTACAGGTGTGGGGGTGGGGGAGGGGAGGCAAGGGAAGCAGAGGAAGATGGCTGCAATGAACTTCTAACAGGGGGAGGTGACACGGAGATCAGAACCTGCTGGCAACAGGTGGTGGTGGCGGAGGGCCCCAGGCCACCTCTGGCCAGTGCAGGAGAGCCCCATGAGACAGAGGTCCCGGGACTGGTCACCCCAAAACACAGGTCGACCCCAAACTTACCCCTTACGCTCAAAGGGCAGGGATCAAAAAGGTTTCGGATCCTGCACCTGCTCCACTCCAAACCTAGAGGGAAGTAAGGTTGCAAACTGAGTTTTTATCGCCATGTTCTGTCAGGGACCCTATGTTTCCCCAAGACTCCTGGAAAGAACTTGCTGGGTTCAAACAGGCCTCTGGACATAAGGTAACGAGTCCTGGTTATTTCTGCTCCGACTGAGAGCAGAAAAGCAAGCTTGCAATGGGGCCAGAGTTCTAAACGACACCGCAAGCCCCTACCAGACACGGACTGCAAATCCCGGCGTGCCTGGCGGGTCCGAGGCCAGGACTACGTTTCCCAGAGGGCACCGTGGCCGGCCGGCGGGGGCGGGGCGAGCCACGGGGCTGGGGGCGGGTGCTGCCCTCTGCCGGGCGCGGCGGGAAGTGGGCGCGGAGTGACAGCCGGAGCCCGGGCGCCGGGCGAGGGGGCTCGGTGACAGCGGAGGCGGCGGCCGCGGGCGGGACGCAGGGAGCCGCGGCGGGGCCGACAGCGGCGGCAGGGTGGCCCGGGGGACCCCCCTGGCGGCGCGGAGCCGGAGGAGCCGGGGAGTGGGCGGCGTGCGCAGCTCGCGGGCCGGGCACCCCAACTTGGGACAAGTTGCCGGAACCGCGGGGCTCGGGCGCCGGACGGACTGACCTTCAGAGTGAGGTGAGCGGGGCTGGGGTGGGGGGTGGCACGGGGTGCGCCGAGGGCTGGGGCCCCGGATCCAGGCGCCGCGACCCCATTCTCGCGGGTCCCGGAGGCAGGTGGGAGGTGAGGGTGTGGGTTGGGAAGGGAGCGGGACAGTGCGCGCCGCCACCCACCCCTCCAGCCCGGCCCTCGGCCCGCGGCCCTCCCACCCCGGGCGCCCTGCGCGTGGCCCGAGCGTCGCCGCCCGCCGCTTCGGGGGGCCCTTGCACCCCTCCCTCCGACCCGGGCCAGGGGCGGCTGCTCCGCGCCCTTATGTAACCTCACGGGAGGGGCGGGCGGCCTCGGGCCTTGCCGGCCGGCCGCGAAAATCAGAGTGAACGGCGTGGGAGTGAACTTGCAAGAAGTTTGAGGGACACCTAGGCCCTGCACCCACCCCTCCTCCGGACGCGGCCGGGCGGCGGGTGCGGGGGAAGGGTCCGAGGCCGGGAGGCGTGCGGGGGCCGAGGCCGGCCGGGCGGGGCCCAGCCCTGATGGTGGGGGGAATGGGAGGACCGGGGTGGCGCCACGCCCCGGGGCCGGGCTGCTGGGGGGGCGGCGGGCGTCTCTCTTGGCGACCCGGTGCGCCAAGGCCCCGGGCAGTGTCTTCCCTCCTGGCATAATTCCACGACCCTCTGCCCTCCCCGCTGAGCCCTGAGAGGCCACCGGCAGCCAGTACCCCAACCTTCCCCACCCCGCCCCGCCACTTTCCATACCCTGGAGAGCACATCATCCCCCTATCCCACCTCCTCCCTTCCCCTGGCTGCGCCGATCCCCCCCCGGATCGGCGTGCCCGCACCGTTCCCCGGACCCCACTGGTCATCCCGCCCGACGGGAGCGGGCAGTGACCGCCGCGGACCCCTCCCCTCGCTTCCCTCCCAGCGCGGGGCCCCGGGTTTCACGCACGGCTGCCCCGAGCCGCTCTGGGCTGCGCGAGCAGGTTCGCGCCGCAGCCGCCTGGCTCACCCCGGCCCCGCGCCGGGGTGGAAAGGGAGGGCGCCCGGGCGGGGCTCGTGGCGCCCGGCCTCCCCGCGGCGCCTGCCCCGACCCCCGCCTGCCCCGACCCCCGCCGAGCCCGGCGTCAGCCCCTCGGCTGTGGGTGCTGGGGAGGGCTCGGCTCGGACAGTTTCTGGGCTAAACTTGAGTGCTGCTGTTGGGCTTAACGCTGACAGGCTGGCTGGCTGGTTGGCTGGCTGGCCGGGAAAGTGTCGGTTAATTTCCATTCCCATCGCTAGCAATTGTGTGCTTCGCGGGAGCAGAGGAGGGGACACCTCAGGTCCATGGCACGCCCTGGCTGAGATCCTGCTGGCCCAGACCCGGCGATCCCGGACAGCCGCCGGGGGTGAGGTGGGATCTGGTCTCCGATTTCCTGCAGGGCGCCCAGATGTGGCTGCTCTCAGTCCGAGCCTGCAAGGCTTGACTTCTGCAGCGGGCTCAAGCCCCGCCTGGGAGGAGGGGGGTGTGCCAATCTCTGTATCCCCATTCCTGCCCGCGGGGAGCCTCTAGTTGTCTTCTTTGGAAGCTACAGAAGAGAAGGGTGGGCTACCTCTGGAGCCCAGCTTGGTGTGATGGTGTGATTTTACCCTGCCTCAGTTTCCTCTGTCCTGAAAGAAAATAGCAGATCCAGCCAGCCCTTCTTTGGGAACCTAGGGCTGGAGGGTTTGGGGGTGGCTCCAGGCTCATCTCCTCTGGCTGGGAGCCAGGTCTGCTTACCCGTCATAGTCTGCTGCAGCCACTGTCCTCTTCGCGCCTCCGAATGGAGACCTGTGCCTTGGGGGGCGTGGGTATGTCATGTCTCATGGAAGGGTGCAGGGAATGGGGCAGGTGCCAGGGAAAGCCAACTGAGCTTTGGAGGGCCAATGGCCCAGTGACTCAAGAGCCAGAGGTTGGCTGCAGGAGCCGAGTGCAGGAGGGTTTCTGGGCTAGCTGGGGGTCCAGTGCCCGCAGCCCCTGCCAGTCAGGCCTGCCTCTCAGGAGTGGGGGCAGTAGGTGGGTGGGGCTGTCCTTTCAGGCCCTGGCCCTGATTCCCAACCCCCTAGGCTCTGTTTATGGCTGTAATTGCATCATTAGCCAGAGTTTATAGAGTTACTTAGCACCTGCCCCCACAGGGACCAGCCCAGCCACCCCCTGCCTGCTATCTTCCTTTTCAAAGCTGCCAGATGGGGCTTCCCCAACTCCAGCAGAGGCAGGAAAGCCTTTGTCCTGGGGTTAGAGGGTAGGTCTTCCGTACTGGGGTATGGGGGGGGGGGCTTGGGGATGCCCTGGTGATGACCATGGAAGTGGGCTTGACCTCAGAGTTCCCATCTCTGGATGTAGTGAGTGTGCATGTGTGCCTGGTGTGTGCATGGCAGGGAGATGAAAATGCCTGCCCTTGTCCAGCCTGTGTGTGAGTGAGGAGGCGGCACAGTCCGGGGGGGGGGGTGTGTGGTTCTGAGTGATCGGGTCTGGGTTGGCATGCAAGGGCGACATATGCCTGAGTGCAGCTGGGAGAGAGTGTACATTGACTGTGTTATCTTACAGGATTCTCATCTCTTCCTGCTGCTCTAGAAGCCTATCGTAATAATAGCTGCCAGCATTTGTTGTGGTTACTCTTTAGAGCGAGGGACTGTTTTTACATCAATATAGATTTGGAGAAGCTAAAGCAGGTGGTTTGAAAATCACACTGCTTGCAAGTGTCAGGCTTTGGATTCTAACAGAAGCCCTCCTGCCCTCCAGAGGCCCTGTTGTCAATTCCAGAAAACCACTTCTGGGGTTTCCAGTATTCCCTGCTTTGAACAAGGCCCAAACTGGCTAAGGCCCAGCTCCGGGTCCACACCTGTGTCCTGGCTTTTCTGCTGAAGTGCTGCCAAGGGTGACCAAATCCTTCCCACCCACCCCGGAGTAGGGCTGGCTGAAGCTGTCCCAGTGGCCAGGGGAGGTGACAAGTTAGGACAAGATTTCCTTCTGTGTCTCTTTGGAAACTCAGATGCCCCTGGGAGGGCAGCAGGCATCCCCAACTAGCACAAAGTCCAACTTTGTGCGGTGAACTTACATACTGTTCCATGGGATATGGAGAGGAGGCTGTGGGGTTCCCAGATGACGGTGGGACAGCAGCATGAGGCCCAAGGGCATGGCCTGGGTGTTGGCTCTGTGTACCTTCAGTCCCTCTCCCTGTGAGTCCCCTCCACTGCAAGCCTTGTACCCATCTCTGCCCAGGGCACCAGCATGGGGGAGGGTGCGGGTCTCAGGGTCTCCTGTAGAAGTTCATGGAGTTTGGAGTT